AAAAGCGGTAAGATACTTTGTAATTAAACTTGATCTTAGCTTATCCATTGTGTTATTATCTACAGAATTTGTATYAATCCAATTCCTTGATGATGGAGTTCTAAAGGTTTTGTCCGAAAAGTTAACCACCAGARGTTCTGAAGGTCTTAAGGCGCAATATGATGATGGGAAGTATTACGACTGCACCATACTTGATCGCAATGGTATGTAAATTTTATACAGCTAGATTAATACAGTATAGTACCATTTGTATTGATTATTCTTCTGATAAAAATCAACTGAAAAATGACAGCATTTGTATGCATGCTTGAGTACATGTGTACATGTGTTGTACTGCTCCAGTAGACTGCAGTTTAATTTACAATTCAGAAACGTATTGTTTTGTAATATTTTGATCCAGATGAGAAAGATGTGCTCCTAAAAAAGATGMAAATGCTTGCTTCAGGATCAGGGAAGAAATCGAACAAACCTTCTTCAAAGCCCCACAAAACAAAACAAAAAACAAAGACAAAAAACAAAGAAAAKGAGACACAACCACAACCAAAAAAAAGAGTAAACAAAGATAATGGCACAGTGAAAGGCAAACTAACTGAAAAGAAGAATAACATGGTATCATCAAGAATTGAAGGATTACTAGAGAAGATGTCCAGTGTTCAAARTGAACACCCAGGTGTAAGCTTCAGTAATTCTCCAGCCCTGCAGTCATCTGAAGAGCACTTTGATGTAGACATTGTCCAGTCATGTTCGAATTTGATGTCACGTCATAATCAACATGTCGTTGATGAAGATGATGAAATGTTTAACTATCAGCCAATGTCAGATTTAGAATGGTAGATCTAGATCTTGAAAGGCAAGCCCCCCCTATACCTAGAATGCCACCGCGAACACCACAACAATATCGAGATACTGAAAGGCAAGCCACCCCCTATGGAGACACCCAGAGAGCCTGTCAACAAAACCTCAAAACAGCCGGCTACAAGTCAGCAATATCTGCATTTACATCCTGTGAGGCAAACCCCCCCCTGTACCTAGAATGCCACCGCGAACGCCACAACAATATCGAGATACTGAAAGGCAAGCACCCCCACCAAGGACACCACCTGCAACACTCCAACATCAGCATCCAAGGACGGGGGAGAAGACGCCACGGTCGGCATTTAAAAGACCATCAGAGACTGTGGAAACTTGTTTATCTTGAAACGTTTGCAAATAGAAAATGAAGAGCTACGTCTAAAAATAGAAGAGCTCATTGAAAATAAAGGTACAATTACTGTGCAGTATATATTATAAACTGATTAACAATCATTAACTACAAAAAAGAAAATGTAATTTGCAAGTGGACTTTTTGCAGTGCTTTAAAGTTCTGCAAGTTCTTTGATCTGTTAAAGCATGTGGGTATTTTTTGCATTTAAAAATTATTGTTTTTTTTTAATATTTTGTTGTTGTGAAGTTACATGTACGTGAAACACCTCAGTGAACAATAATATGAAATGGTGTAATTGTACTGTGTTTATACAGCTCTATAGTAGGTCAGCGGTAATCCAAAATGGCGGACGTGTTTTTCAGAGCTCCGCTCTCCATCCTGTTTCTGGCCTTCTTACTTGCCGAGAAATATCCAGAGTCCTACAACTTCACAGCAGATCAGTTCTCTAGTATCCCTAGAGTGTATCCAGGCTCTAACTTCCTATCCAACTATCATATTCGAGTGGGTTTAGTCGGTGTTTACGAATTGACGAAACGAACTGCCTTCGTGTGCAACTCAATGACAAATTCAACCCTGTCGACTACAACAGCTATCTCTCTACTTCTGTTATGCGGAGATATTCAACTCAACCCGGGTCCACCAAGGTTTCCTTGCGGAATTTGTGGCAAATCTGTCAAGATAAATAGGAGGAATTCAGTGTGATTCCTGCGATGTTTGGCACCACATCCGATGTATGAACATTCGACCTATTATTTATGAGGCATTGGCTAAGTCCTCTTGCATCTGGGAATGTAACAACTGTGGCCTGCCTAACTTCTCAAGCTCCCTGTTAGAGTCCCTTGCCTGCTTCACAAGCAAAGATGATAACCAATTCTCGGCCTTGGTGGATATCTCTACCTCCAGCTCTATCGGCTCCCCTAAACTCACACTAACTACTAACAAAAGTCCAAGGGCAAGCTCAAGAAAACTGCGACAACTTAACGTCAACTGCCAGTCTGTGTGTAAGAAAAAAGAACTCCTCCAAGCTTTGATAGACTCAACCAAACCTGACATCGTCATAGGAACTGAGTCCTGGCTAAAACCGACTGTGCTTGATAGTGAGATTTTCCCCTCCAACTTTTCGGCTTATCGAAAGGACAGACTATCCACCCTGGGTTTGGAGTTTTCACCCTGGTATCCGATCAACTGGTCTCTGAGAGGATTGAAAACCTAGAAACTGATCCTGAAATGCTATGGATAAAAATATCTATCTCTGGCTCCAAAGACCTTTATCTGTGCTCCTATTACAGACCTGATGTGAGTGATGCTGTTAGCTTGGACAATCTGAGTACCTCACTAGGCTATATCTGCAATAAGAACTGCCACATCTGGCTAACCGGGGACTTCAATTTCCCTGGCATTACCTGGCCAGATAGAATCATCAAACCTAATTGTCCCTA